TAAACCAAGCTATTGGTTTAAAAAACTACTTACAAAATGAACATTTTCTTTACTGGTTAAATTTTTTTCATTTAGTTATGCCTCATTGTGATATATTGTTCAACCAATTACAAAAATGTAATATCGATGTCATAACAGTAAATAAGTGTATTGGCGTTTTTAATAATAAAATTGAAGACATCAGAAATAAAATTTTGAATAACTATTTGGAGGAGACATCCATGCAGTCTGCCCAGAGATGTAAAACAGAAGAATCAAAAAGGAGTATTTCATTAGAAGTTTGTGATATAATTACATCTGAGATCAAAAACAGGTTTGGCTTCAGTAATCATTTAGCAGTGTTTCAGTTATTTCACGTAGATCGATTTAAAGATTATAAAAAAAGCTTTCCTCAAGATATGTTTAAATTAGTTAAAATGGAGTATCCAGTCATAAATCATTTGAAACTTAAAACTAAATTAGAAGTATTATATAGCCGAGAAGATTTTTCCAATAGTGAAGGTGCAGTTACTTTGTTACAGCTTTTTATTAACAATAATTTGTGCAATACTTTTTCTGAAAGTGTCAAACTGTTAAAAATTTTGTGTACTCTCCCTATGACTACCGTCGAAAGTGAACGTTGTTTTTCCACCTTAAAAAGAATAAAGACATTTTTAAGAAATACCATGGGTCAGGAAAGGTTATCTTCTTTAGCTATGCTTACCATAGAAAGGGCATTAATAAAGAAGATAAAAGACTTTAATGAAAAAGTAATTGACCACTTTGCATCTCAAAAAGACCGGAAGATCAACTTGGAATTTAAATCACTTTAAAAGGTAGGTAATACAGTAAACTTTTCTAATTGACCTCCCTATCTCTTGACCCACGAACCGCCACTGTCAATAAGGAATATCCTGCATGTGATTTGGAAAGGTTCAAGTTTGCAAACGACTTTGGCAGATGTTGAAAAATCATTTTCGCATTACACAAGTGTGTTTACCCCACGAAGGAGACGTTTTTCAGCAGAAAACATGGAAACTGTGTTACTCATGCAAATGTTTGTTGGTGTTAAATCTCAGCTATTATCCTCGGTACGTGCCATGTAGTAGGTAAGCAGTTTTATACCTACACGTATTGTCAATTTTGAAACGAAAGAACATAATAAAGACTAGGAAATCAAGATAATTTTTTTATTTAACTTATTAATTGTTACTAAATATATTACGTTTCTAAATACACATTAATAAATATACCTATCTTTTTACAAATAAAGTTAACCCTGTATTTTCCTATCTAAAAGTCTATTTTCTAAATATGCAGTAATTACAAATATTTTACGTATTGTTGCGAATTATTTACACTATACACAGTCACGTAATAATAAAAAACAGGATATAAAAATAATTGAAAATAAATTAATATAACAAAAAATAGGTACTAAGATAAAAATTAACAAAAATATATAAACAAACATTTGAAGATCCTCAAGTGTTAGTATATAACAACGTTATGTATGTTAGTATTTAATTTTTAATATAACGTTAGGTGAGGCATTGCAAAAATGCCAATAACAAATAACTTCGTATTTAATAAAAACAGCTTTTGGGTATTGCATCATAATAATTTACAGTAGTAAAAAAAAATTTAAATTAACATGAATTTCTTAAAGGATGTATCCATTATATTGCCGAAAAACATGAATAGGCTTTTATTTTGGCACAAAATAACCTTTTTCCACCGCCCTCTGGATGCGTTGAGAAATATAATTTTATATCTCATCTACAAAACTTATGAATATTTTCAGCCTTCTCAACTTATTTTTTGGAAACAAAACAATGCTATTTTCATTAAATTAAAGTAAATGTTGACTTCCTACCTAAAAAAACTGTAATAAGTTCACTGATAATACTAACCCTTAAGAATAGTCAGACTAAGCACCTTTATAAGTATAACCTAATTGTTTCGTATCCCCAACAATGTCTATGTCGCTTTCACAATCACTTACGTCGGAATTCGTAACCGAAAGACCCGAGCTGCTTGCGTTCGGGGTTTTTTCTTGGGATATCGTTGATATCTCTTGGGAAACACCTGAAGAAAAAAAATTATGTAATTATATTATTATTATTATTACTGAGGAGAGGTTAACATTAATTATTCTCGATGATATTTTACAAGTTGTTGGCTGTTAAAGTAAACATTATTTCTTCAATAAAAAACAGAAAAAAACTTTATTTCCTATTTTTATTTTATTTTTTTTTTTATTTTTATTAAATTCAACATACTTCTCGTTCAATAAAACCTTTTATAAACAAACAGAAGGACTAGCTATGGGCCAACCACTTTCAGCAGTGTGTGCAAATTTAACTCTGGATTATCTAGAAAATCAACTAATATCGACACTTTCAAATAAAATTGATTTTGTAAACGATACGTAGACGATTGTCTACTATGCGTTAATAAAAATGAGATACAGTACATATTATAGAAATTCAATGAACAACACAGAAAAATAAAATACACATTAGAAACAGAAAATGAAAATAAAATAAACTTCTTAGACCTGACTTTAATTAGATCTACCAGTAGAATTAAAACTAATTGGTATCAAAAAAGTATGAGTTCGGGACGTATACCAACTTCCAATCAAAAACTAGTAATAAATACAAAATTAGCGTTATAAACAGCCTCGTGGACAGGGCCATTTTACTATCAGATAAACTGTTTCACAAAGAAAAACATAATTAAAATCAAAAACATTCTTTTAAATAACTTTTACCCGCCACCTTTTATGAATAAGTATATTCAAAAGAGAATACAGATAATAAATAACAAAAGCAATAAAAATCAAGTTGACATAGATTTACAACCTAACTGCTTTGGACCCATATTTAACAACACAAACCAGGACAAAAATCAAAACAATCCAAATAGAGACAAAATATACATATCGGCACCATACATACCACAAGTATCAGAAAAAGTTCAGAAAGAATTAGGTAAATATAACATACAATTAGCATACAGAAATGATAATAGCATAAAAAATAAATTATATTCAAAACTAAAAGATCCAATAGAGAAATTAAATCAAACCCATGTTATTTATAAAATTGATTGCTCAGATTGCGATAGGTGTTACATTGGACAAACCCAACAATATTTAAATAAACGTATAAATCAACATAAATTATCAATTAGAAATTCCATAGCAACTCCTAATTCATGTAGCACAGCATTAGCTGAACACGCCATAAATAATTCACACAATTTTAACTTTCCGGATACAACCATACTGCATAAAGAAAGAAATTCCAAAATACGCATGTTTTTTGAAATGGCCAAAATACAAAATAACAAAAAAACAGTAAATTATCAAACAGATATAGAAAATCTAAGTAGCATATATCGCAATCTTATTCAATAGTAACAATTTTTATACATCCTGTATATGTGCTAACCGCAAAATCTCTTCTCAACGGCTATCCAATATCATGAGAATGTTTACAATAACTCTGTCACTCGGACCATCAATATAAGTATACTATCAGCTGTTATAATTACCTACTCTTAAAAAGAACACACAACGACGACACCAAAAAATACTGATCATTCTCTGTCTAACTCGTCGAACTACAACACATACCTACCAAATAAAAAAAAATAAAACCAGCCCATATAATGAAATTAAAATAGAAAATTTATATTAGGTAAGAAAACACTTTTTTAGATATGTATTCTGTCACTAATCTAATTTAAAACTTATGTAAAACCATTATTTTTAGCTTTTAACCTTTGAAAAAGTCCGAAAATTCGGACGAAACGTAGGATAAATAATTGTCCATATACCTGGCTGGAAGTCCTCTAAAAATAAAAATAGGAAATGAAGTTTTTTCTGTTCTTTATTGAAGAAATAATTTTTAATTATTCTCGATAAACGGAGTGGGGCGTAGTTACATCATATATGCAAATCCATGACCGCTATTGGATAAATGTGGTGTAACCAATGGCGTGCAATATAGAAGTGTAAACGGGGTGACTAAACTTCACCTCACGGATAAAGTCTAGGAAGTGCCTCCATTGACGGCATTAAAAGAACGATTTAAGTTCACTTGCCTACAGACGCAATCATTTTGTAGCTCATCTAGTTAATTTTAAGGCAGCTCCTGTTGCAGGAGTTGGCAACTCTTTTTAGGTACCTTTTATTTGTCCCAGCTCTAGCCCTTTCCAGCAAGTCGGCTTGTTGATGTTTGGCTGGCTCTGGTCGCATATGCCTGAGCGGAAATGTTTGTCTTTATAAATAACGGGTTGCTATGATTTTTCGTGATGTTTCACACTAAATAATTATTGACAACTGATTTACAGCATCAAGTATTTAAGGTTAGGTATTTTGGTAATTGTGTGTCAAATTCGAATTGTAAAACTTTATAAATTATATCGTGTTTTAAGGAAATAGTTAGGTATTTATGACAAACATCTGTTGAAGATATGCCTCCTTTTATAATTTTACTAGCATAATCTAGATCAGAAATAGATTCAGATTTAAACGAAGAAGAAGAATCAGACTCTGATAGCGAAATTATGGAGGAGATTTAAGTCAAATGTTTAATACTCTGTTAAATTATTTTCATTGTTATTTATCTTATTATTTGTTTATTAATTTTCTTGATTACCATTTTAAAATTAATAAACATAAAGTGTTTACCAATATTGTATTCATTATAATTTTAATTTAATCGACTTTATGAAAGACTGTTCCATTATATTACAAATACAATGAGAACTCTAACATTTTTATAGTTACAAATTGAAATTTAAAGAAAATAGCAACGCTGTTTCACTGACATATGACTGCCATATACCTTACTTAAAATATTTGATGCTATCAAGTAGTTGTCAATTATTATATAGAGTGAAATATCACGAAAAATCATAGTTCAAAAATTTCTTTTAAATGGTACCTCTTTAAAAGAAATTCATGTCTGCGAAAAAAAATTATGGAAACAATAAAAGATATGATGGCTTCGTAGTCGAGAGGTAAGGACACTTGTCTCTCACCCTGGAGTCCCGGGTTCGAGCCCCAGCAGAGGAGCTAGGGTTTTTCTAAACCAGAAATTATTCGTAACATACTTGGATATTGAGTGTATCCATTGTCTCTAAATGTCTAGCACTCTCCCGCACAAGATACATTGTGGTACCTTCAGGGATACGGGGGGGGAGGGGGGATTTGTATTACCTGTGGTGTGTGGTGTTTTAATTTAGATAACATGAATGTATAGGTATACCTCAACAACGTTCAATGTAAAGAAAACAATTAACATATTCCCACCCAGTACATCAAAGGAAACTGTAAAAAAACTTTTTTGTTTCAGATGGCGTAAGACCCGGAACAATGCAAGAATGAAATTATTTAATTAAATAAATAATCTCCTTGTTAATAGTTTTTATTAATTTGAAAGGAAAATGGCTTTTATGCGCCACTGGCAACACGTTACCTGTTTTTCAACCCTAATTTGTACGAACTTTAAGGAAATGTGAGGAGCAAGACGAGAGGAAATACCGTCAACTTTGCTAATTATGTTTCTAAGTGGGAGATCTTGGAGTCACCCGCCATCTTAGTCGTAAATTAATTCATTAGGTTCTGAACTTGCCTTAATTGATGTTGAAGATCTGGTACATTCGAAGCAGAAAAGAATTTTCCGAACGTGTATCATCACTAGCACATAAACTCGCTATATTTATTGATAATTCCAAACACGATAAAATAAGATCTAGTATTTTACTAATATAATATGTAAATATACAACTTTTTTTATGCTATTTTGTTTTTTTAATTTCATGATCTGACATACTTTTTGTAGATCTAGATATCAGATTTCAATATACGTATCAAAAATGTGGCGTCGAGAAAATTAAAAAAAAGGTGCAATTTCGAGTAATGGCATAAAGTCGTATTTTTTTTAATGGGAATCATAGTTGGTTATGATTAAAGCTGGCCGAGGTGGCTGGAGTACAGCCACGGTCTTGCGCTGGCGTCACACGTGCCGATTTAGAAGTGATTTACGCTGCAGTCTTATTTGAAAGGTTAATGCGTGAGGTTGTACCTATAAATTATACATAATGTCAAACGCGCCAAGGGGTAAAAAACGACCGTACGCGGACACAGTGAATAAATTTATCGGTGAATTTCCGGATTTATTCTATGATGGATGCAAAATAATTTATAAAGTTTGCAATCAAGACTTAATGTGCTGGCACAAAACAGATTGTCGTCGTCATATCAATACCGTGCAACATCAAAATAAAAAAAATGGCATGCCTTTGACAACTCAGTTTATGTTTGATTTATTGTTAATGTTAATAGCATGTAATATTCCGCTACACATACTGGATAAACAACCATTTCGGGAGTTTTGGAATAAATACAATCCCCAGGTGAACTTACCAAGTCGTACATCGTTACGTAGATATATTCCAGCTGTTCGTAAAGACATTGTAAATAGGATTAAATGTGGATTAAAAAATACACGGCTCTGGTTATGTATTGACGAGACGACAGATTGTAAAAAAAATTCTATTTTAAATATTATAGTACGTGTACTGGACCCTCCTAAACCAACATTTCCACTTTTACTAGCTAGTAAAAGACTAACTGCGTGTACTGGCGAAATAATGACGCGTGTGGTGTTGGATACATTCGAAAAATTTGAACTTTCAACAAGTCAAGTATTGATGTTTGTGACTGATGGTGCCACGACAATGCGCGTGGTAGGCCGTTCTCTTCAAAGAGACAATTGTAGGTTTTTACATGTTACGTGTAAAGTGCATGCGTTACATCTTGTGGCAGAAACGATTCGAAAATGTTTTCCAGAGGTAGATGCATTAATAGCAAATACAAAAAAAGTATTTCTCAAATCTCCTAAACGGCTTCGAGCATTTCACAGACAGTGTCCTGGTATCCCTGAACCACCAGAGCCGATTCTTACACGTTGGGGAACGTGGTTGAAAGCGGCTTTTTATTATGCTGAATATTTTCAACAAATAAAAGCTGTGATACTACAGTTCAACTCTAACGAGGCTGCAGCTATAAGGAAAAGCCAGACAAGCTTTCAAGACGTTTCCATTGAAACAGATTTAAAAACTATTAATAACAATTATAGAGGACTACACGACGCAATAGAAAAATTGCAAAATAGTTCGTTGTCGTTAGTGGAATCGCTGCAAATAGTGGACGACGTAAATACACAGTTACAGGCTATAAATGACGCAAAAAATAATCGCGTTAGTGAAAAATTCGAGAGTGTATTACAGAAAGATCCTGATTTTAGCAAGTTAAGACAAATTTGTGATGGTGCATCTACAACTTCGTTAAGTGAGTTCACAGATTGTTTTACTTATGCCTGTATTACATCCGTAGATGTCGAACAGTCATTTTCAAAATACAAACATATTTTTTCACCAAAGCGAATATCGCTGACGGAGACAGCTGTAGACATACCTGATGCTATTATACTATAGATATTCCCCACTTTGTGATGACGACAACCAAACTACTTCATAAATCTGCTTAAAAGGGTGAGTTTTATACAAATTTTTATAAAATGTAACATTATTGTTAAAATTTATTTCTATTTATTGTACTTATTCAAGTATTATGATATGATGTAAACATATGAGTCATATGACGGCTCTGTCGGCCAGGTGACCTCGGCCAGCTTTAGTTATGATTTAGTTAAAAAGGATTTTTTTTCTCTTTTAAACTATATGCCATATGTGGGGTCGCTTTTGATGTAAATATTTAATAGCGAAAATAAACTTTTAGTAGATTACTTTTTACGTGTTTTTATATTTATTCCAAGTAGGCGTGTGTCATCTAACAGTGTTTATCCATTTGTCAGTAAATTGCATATTAATAATTTTGTTTCCGTCATAATTACACCCCATTTAGTCGTAAAAGTAATGAATGATGTCTTACGAATATTACGAGAAATATGATATGCTAGAATGCTTTATTCAAAGTAATAACAATTGTGATATTGCATCTGAAATATATTTCAATGGCTATCCAGAAAAAAGGCAACCTAAAAAAGCTATTTTTAAGAGGTTAAAAGAAAATCTCCTTAATTGTGGGTACTTCAACAAGCCAAGACCAAGAAAGCAGATGTTTATATCTAATTTTATAATACATTACAATTACAAAATAAATAATCAAATTAAAGTAAATGTGTGTAAAACCGTCAAACTCCTTTCTAAGTTCAAATTGTTTGTGTATTTCTAAACGCTTTTAGAAAAAGTACATTTTTTCTGATTATTTTTGTTTAAATATTCCTAAATTCGTTATTTGATTTGTCTGCCAGTTTGTCCAAGATCACAGTTACAACAATATAGAAATAAAAACAAATAAGGAAGTTTGGCGTAGTTTTCTTTAACACTCGTTATAACCGAGTACTGGAAAAATCTGACGGAAGTAACACCCTTTGGAAATTAAAACGCTTCTTAATTAATTCTAAAGGCCCTCAGAACTCTTCCAGAATCTTAATGTAAATTAGAATTAAATGAAATTAACCCAAGATGCTAAATGGCATCTCTTGAGGTTGGTCACTAAGAAGTAACTTCCTTAGAGAAAATGGACCGTACTTAACACTAATTTTGAAATATAATTTATCATCAAGGAAAATCGTAATGGATTTCAAACTAATGAATTTATCTCTAGGAGAGTGTATCTATTCCCCATTTTTGATGTTATGTAGAGGGTACACCAGGTAAAGTTGACCATGCCATTTTCTATGAGTTTTAAATATTATTCAACGTAAATGGTGAAAACTGTTTTTAATTGATAAGTAATAGAATCTGATTTATAGACCTTTTAGACGTCCTTGCTGCGCACAACAAATTAGTTTTAAAATTTAATCTTAAGTAAAGCTGGAACTTTGGTATTCATTCCAGTGGCGCCACCGTAATAATATGAAATAATTAACTTAGTTAAAGATAATTAAACAGACTCACTCATGTTTTATTTGGTCTAAAGTAAATCTTGAGTCCGTCGCATGTCGTCCAAACGCCTGAATTAATATTCCTTCTACAGTAATTTCCATTAAACATGCACGTTTCGTATCATATTTTGAAAATGAACGTTTTATATCTAGAGATGTAATATTCGCATATGTAAAATACTGATGGAGACCTGTAGAATTTCTGTTACGTAGGCACTGCTTAATGTGACGTAGTTGCGCAAGACCCAGATTTTTATTTAATAACATCAAATTTCGTTGCAGCTTGAACACCATATTTACGTTATCAACATTTCAAACGTTTGAGCTTAGGATGCAGAACTATCTTGCAATTGGTTAATAGAATTTGCTAATATACTGTAGTTATCTTGTGCGTAAATCTGATTTGACTTGTGGATTTTCAGGGGCGGGCTCCTGGTCGACCAGCGGCTTTAAAATTTTCATGGTGAAAAAAGGTCATTTACTTAATTCATTTTTGGGACACAAACAAAAGTATTTCCTTTTCTTAGGGTTTACTACTACATGAATAATTCTTATATATTTTAGTAAATAATACGTAATTTTTCACAAACTTAACATTATAATAAGAATAACATCATAATATTAGATAAGGAATGCTTCAATTCAAACTAGATCAGGTTCTCAAAATGTCCCCCCCAACTTCGATGTATTTCCTGCACCGCACTAGCACCAGTAAATATCGTGTGGCCATCCCAATGTTTTGTTTGTGGTTCTTGATGTTATCAGAGGCTGCCACTACTCGCTGCCATAATTCCTCTCTAGTGTTGACGCCCGTGCTGTATACCAATTGTTTCATGTGGCCCCAAACATAGTAATCGAGAACAGTTAGGTCAGGAGACCTAGCTAGTCAAGCTCGAGGACCTCCGCGACCAATCCAGTGGTTAGGAAGCTTATTGTTGCCCCCGGACATGGAGTAAGAAATGAGGCGGTGTCCGATCATGCTAGAAATAAAGACTTCTCCTGTCGACATTTTGCGCCAATAACAAATTGAGCAAAATAGTCTGGAGGAAATCGAAATAGATTTCCCCAGTCAATCGACCTCAAAAAATGCGGTCCTATC